CACCCATCCTGCTTTTTCTCCTGTCGAAGTTGCCCCTGACGCTCCCGCAACATGCTCATGTCCACAGGTGCGATAGCCATGTCCAAAATGGAAGGGGATAATTGCTTCTGCAAGTGCTCTGGGATGAGCGGTGAGCGGTCCTGACAAGTTTGACAATGTTGCCAGCAAATTTCATTTGACGAGGGTTATTCTTTAAATGGTTGGGGCCGGGAATATCTTTTGGGCGCGACCCCTAATTCAAGAAAGAATCGTAAAGTCCAAATTTTGGACCACTTATTTTGGAACAACCTTCCTTGAGAGCCCCAGCAGCTCCACGTTTCTGAGGCTTGAGGATGGCCTCCACATCTTTCAGGGCCTGGAGGCAAGGCACGGAAGCGCGTGCAATTGGGCACTAGTGAGTACGGAATTGGTGAAACAGGGGATCCTTGGAATTGCATTTCCCGCGGGCAACAATGAACTTTGTCTCCTTCCACGACCAGTAACCACATGTACTCGAACAATATGGACACATGTCAGCTCACTATGCATGAAATGCCCACCCCCCTCAATGTGATAGCACCATGGGGTGCAAACTGAAACTGCTGGCATGCCTGCTTTTGGCAAATCCCAAACCTCTGAATTTCTGGCCTATACTTGTCACTTGTCACCACCCGATAGTGAGCTAGTGAGTCTTGTGTTTAAACCAGGGGTCGGCCAATGGAAGCTTGCAGCACTTTTTCAGGGGCCAGGGAATCTTATAAGATTGCCACCACAGGTCAAAAAGATTTGGGGCCACCTTATTGGGAATATTTGTTTTTGATGGGCTGTTGCGGCGTTGGGCAGGCCTCAGGGCAGGCGTCCGCTTTGTCATCCTCACCCAGACCATTATCATGGATTGGGGGCTTGGGGCTGGCTTGGAGCTGATGCAGTTGGGAGTCTTCCTCAAATGATTGGGAGGCCTGAGCAGGCGTCTCATGGGAGTCATGATTGGTAGTGGGCTCGTCTTGTTGGGCTTGGGAGCTTCGCTGGGCAACCTCATGGGTTGTATGGGCATAGTCCTGCACATAGGCCTGATCTTCATTTGGATTTTCCTCATGCGCTGTCACGGCATCCTCAGGGTGGGCTTGGGCTTTCTCATCCTCTCCTCTTTGCGTGTAGGGGCCCACCACAGCATCCCCATCATGGGTTGGGGCCTCATCATGGGTTGGGGCCTCATGAGGGCAGGCTTCAGCTTTATCCTCATCCAGGGCCTCATCATGGGTTGGGGCCTCATGAGGGCAGGCTTCAGCTTTATCCTCATCCAGGGCCTCATCATGGGCTGGGGCCTCATGAGGGCAGGCTTCAGCTTTATCCTCATCCAGGGCATCATCATGGATTGGGGGCTTGGGGCGGGCTTGGGCAGCTATGTGAGCACCCCACACTGCAGAGTTGGCTGGGCCGCATTGGGAATGGGAGCCCTCCTCACAAGCCAGCTGGTCCTCACATGGTTGGGAAGCCTGAGCAGGCGTCTTGTCGGCCTCATAATTGGCTGTAGGCTCGTCTTGTTGCAAGGCCTGCGGGCTTTCCTGGGCAACCTCATGTGTCGTATGAGCATGGGCAAGGACATGTCTGTCTTGGGCTGGGGGCTTTATCGGGTCTTCAAGGGCTTCATCCCACCATGCTTGGGAGTCCTCCTCACGTAGTGCAACTGGGGAATCATCAACGCAAATGGCAGCTTCTCCAACCAGTGCTGTGGAAGTTTCAGCTGGTGCAGCATTGAGGGTTTGCTGCGATGGGTTTTGCTGCGATGGGTGGTAATCCTCTGTTGGATTTGCAAGGGCACTTTGGTCGAGAATGAGCGGCTGGGATCCTGAAAGCGGCTTGGGTGGGGTATGCAAAGAACTTGTTGGCTCTGGCTCCAGGTCACCCTCGTAATCACTGATCAGCACCAAACTGTCCGGATCATCGATCTCCACACAATGGATTTTTTCTTGTTGGGCCTCATCTTCGGGGCACTGATCTGGCACGGTGTCCTCCAATGGGGGCGCCTAGCGGGATTTGAACTTGGTTGATTGGGCGTGTAAATCATGATCATACATGTCTATAGTGCACTAGCTGGAAAAAAGGGCCTGCCTCGGGGGTGGTTCCTTGCAGCATGGCAAGCTTGACTCCATAGATCCTCTTCAGAATTGACACCTCCGTGCACCTTCAGGGAATAGAACATATGGCGTTTTGAATTGCGGGTGCATGATCGAGATTGACTGTACCCTTTATTGGGCCTGGCCGACGCAGTACGGTAGTAGATCGACCGCAGGTAAGCTGCCAGCATCCGCAGCCTGGTTCCATGGAGGTCCGCCCACTCCTCAGCCGGGCCGGAGGTGACCGGAATCGATGATTTCGCCTATCGTGTATATATAGATCGATCATATCCCCGGACAGTTGTTATCCAAGTGGCTTTGATTTTTCCCTTGCCACCCTTTTCCTTGTAGGCCTTGTCCTTGTGGTATCCATAAGTCACGGAGCAATACAGGATGGCTGCCTAGGCGAAGCAGCACATGTCGTTGCATTCTTGTTTAATGCCGGCATGCATGTACATATGTTTTTTGTCAGAAGGAATTACTCACTGAGCACTGGGCTCGGTGCTCCTTGACACTTGCCCAGGGTGCCGCACCCGCCAAGTGAATGATGTACGGCTTCAATAATTCGAAATTCGATGGATTCTGCAAGTCCTTCTCTGTCACCTCATTTGAACATTTACACAGCTACTGATGTCAACGCGCATCGTTACAAGCTTCAAGACCAGATCAAGCACAGGCTCCAAATTAGTTGGGAAACCTTGCACTCCATCCCCGTGATGGTCACCACTGCATGGTCCTGAGAACAAGGGTGATGCGCAGCCCTTTAGTTTGGAAACCGCAGGGGGTCGAAGTACTTAACATGCTGATTTGCCAAATTTCGGGATCGGAGCGAAGATCATCCACCCGTGCTTCCAGCGGCTTCCGAATTGCCTCGTAGATGGCCATTGCCTGTTCCTGAGTTGGAGGCGGCAGTCGCCAGCAACCAGTCAAGGAGCATGTCAATATTGTGAACACTCAACCCAAAATAAGGGGCCTTTCAATTAAATATTTTGGAGGCATGCAGTGGCAACGCGTTGCTGAGTGGGGAGCACAAAACTTGACATTAACTCAAATTTAGGCTCAGACATGAAGAACCTCATGGGCTTCTGCACCAGCCATCCCTCCACCCCATGGTGCGTCACTTTCTCACGATTCGCCATAGCGCCGCGATCCGAGGCCACGAATCTAGCCCAGTCTGAGAAGCAACGCCGGCGCCGGCCGGCGCTTCATTCAACTTTGCCCGGGCCATTTGGCTTTGCCATTGTCTTTTTTCGGGGGCCCCCAAAATGGCTTCATCGTTTTCCTTTGAACATGTGATATTCTCAACCTGCATCCCTTTAAAGAGGATATGGTCCGGGCAAGGGCAGAGGCACGCAGCAACCTGATCAAGAGCAAACATACCAATTTCCTTACATGATGACGTCCAATGCGGTTGATGGAAAAAACCAAGATGGGCAAGCTGTCTACTGATCATGCACGGAGATAAAACAATTTGAAATCAGGATCCCAACACCTATGATCAAAACCAGGCTGACGCGCAAGGCAAGGCGAAAGGGCGGACCTGCTCGCTTGGTGTGAAAAAGCATGATGTTGTGGCCCGGCATGCTGCTAGGAGCTCTTGGAAGCTGTCTGCTAATGCATGCTGTTTCATGATTTTATGCCACGCACTCTTCTTGAGCCCCGCTGCAGAACAACCCAATCGCACCATTGCCAGAATTGTCCCAGAAGGGACTCGAAATCCCAAGTGGCCTCTGGGGCATAAGACCGTGGTTTGAAGCCAAATATCTAAGTATGCACCTGGTCACAACTTGGATGCACTGGGCAGGTTGCCCTTCGGCCGTTTTTTGGGTCCGTGGCAAAGAAGACAGGACGGGGCTTCCCCATTTATGAATTCCCGTAGGTTCTGAGCTGTCTTTGGGCTCAACTGAATCTCCGCCATGGGTAGCTGAGTGTTTCTTGGGATGCGTGGGGAGTCCAATAACTGTCAGCCACTGGTGTGACTTTGCCACCAGACGATAAGACACTATCCCAGTTTTCTTGCATGGTTCCTGGATCTGAGCAAACACTGGTCACCAGACTTTTCATTATTAGAACTAGTTGGGCGGGCATCGAAACAAGCTGTGTCGCATTGTCGGGGTAGCCGACGGAACTAAACAAGGGTAACGCAGCTTTGAACAGCTTGAAGCACATACCGCACCAGACCATGTATGCATAGCTCTGGTGTATTGCCATGGAGTGGCATGGACTAGACTATGGAAGAAAAGCGTAATCAGGAACTGGTTGATAATGACAAACAAAGGCTACGCAAAGTGTTGATATTCCCACTTTCAAGCACCGCTTTATCATAAGCATTTGTACTAAGCAGTCTTAAAGTTGGATCAACCCAGTTTCCTAGGAACACGCATTCTTGGCATAGGCAATGACACATTAACTCTACACTATGCTCTTAAGAAAAGTATCATGAACATATCATACTGGTTGGCACTGACACCTGCAGGTACAGTATGTATTACAAAGAGAGGCAAGTTCAGAGTTATCCCGGAAGCACGTCCGTGGCTCCCTTATTGCAGAGGTTCCTTTCACAGGTCCACGGGTCTAGACAGATCCATGCACAGCCTGCCCGCTGAGCATTGTGTATTGAAGCAAGGGATGTCACTCTGCGAAGGGGGATGGCATTGGGAAAGCGCAGAGTAAACCATTGTGTCCCGAAATCCTACACCAGCGCAGTTTCCCACCTCGCCCATGATGAAAGCTCCTTTCTCGTGGGTCGCTCATTTCATTTCGTGAATTATGGAACGATTCACCTAGCGCGTCTGTTGCACGTTTTCCATGCAAATATATTATCACTTGCTTGTGAATGCGTAAGCCATTTTTTAAAAGGGCCTTCAAAAAAAGGGCCCCCCTTCGGATGTCGGGCGCGCTGAGGTTCTTTGGGGGGCCGGGCCATCAAGAAGAAGCCGGACCCCAATGGACCGCCCCAGGACATCAAGTTTGTGTCCTTCGCAGAGCATTGCTTGCATTGGTGGAGCGGAGATTGCGGACCGTGGTTTGGCGGGGGCGTGGGGTTGCTAAGGGGTTTTGTTCGGATTGTTTTTTGTTTTTGTTTTTTGCGTTGGTTGGGTCGGGCTGGTTTGGGAGAGATTTGTTTGGTTTGATTTTGTTTTTGCTTAGTTTCCTTTTTTCTGGTGTTGTGCCTTGGGCAGGGGAGCTGGAATGATTTTATGCCAATGGCAGCATCTAACTGCTGAAATTCGTTGGTGTTTGGTTGCTTCTTGTTTCCGGTAGCCCTTTGGATTGATGGTTTGGGGATTTGAACCCCTGGCTGTTGTAGAGGGTCCCTCCTTAACCTGCAAACCACTGGGTTCCAAACCACCCGTTTTGAGGTTCCGATTCAAAGCCTTGTTGTTTTAGAACCTACTCGCAGGTCTGGTTACATGGCTATGGGGCCATAGCAATTTCCTTGATGATACAGGGGGGTTCAACTTGATTTTCCCTGCAGGGTGGCTTAAACATCACCCATTCGATGGACGTGAGCTTCCTTTTGGTGGAGTGATGTTTTGGGGTGAACATATAGCTGCAACCCTGAGCAAAAAGGTTTCTACTCTCCACAGCACGCTGCCTGGCGGGAACGGCCCATGTCGGCACGAGTCATCCAACTAGAGTTTAGGTGTGTGAGAAAGAAGATGTTGCCGCAGGGAGAAGGGCCAACAGTTGGGTAACATTCTGCATCGTTGCCCTTTGCTGAATGATAGTAGCAAATATGTCTGTCCATGGTTCAGGGTTGAAAGTTAATCCAGGCTAGGGGGAAGGTATTGCGAGCCGGGCAAGGTTGAGGATGACTCTCTGGCATATGATCTCCATTCCCTTGCCGAGTTCATGCATATGGTGATTGCCGCTGCTTTACATGTTCTTTGTTCAAATTTGACAACCACAGGGGTTCTCGCCCAAAAGACTAACGAGCACCGCACAGGGTCCAAACGTTAGGTTTTTGGTCCAATCTCTTGCCTTTCGAGGCGCTGCCATCCACTAGAGTGGAGCTGCCCGGCATTTATAATCCGATTCTGCGACAGTGTAGTGGTCTTTGGGTATGGGAATGTCTCTTACTCACTACGAATTTAAATTTGGCAAGCATGTGGGAGCAGGGGTGTGGGTGCGTGTTTTGTCTACCATTTTCTAAATCAAAATATGGGGGCCAACAAGTGGTGGTGTTCTTTCTGGTTCTCTGACACCACCCCCAAAAGGGTACTCTCAACAACAAACACACACACACACACCCACACACACACACACGCACAAACAAAGCAATTCGCCCTGATGGGAATCAAAAGGCGGCCGTTCCCGCTATGAGCATCCGTGGTTCATTTCACTTTTATTTTTTCACATTTTTAAGCCCCTCGAAAGGGTCTCACGCTGGTTGGAACACAGCTGCATCGCGGCTGCGCCATTTGGACCATCTACATGGTCTTTCTGCATGTTTGCGTTAATGCAGATTCTTGTGCGCTTTCCTTCCAGACACCAGTCATTGGCAGACTGGGCTTACAGGTTTAACGGTTTGCATTTGTGGTTTCCGTGATTGTCCCTTTCAACCAGCGCGGCCGTGACGTGAAGGCGTTGGGGTGGCCCCTCGCCAACCATCCGACTTGGCTCCGGTGCCCATCAGGCGCACTGTCAAGTGAAAGTGTCGAAGTTTGCTTTTTTTGCATGCATAGACTGCATAGACACATCAACTTACCAGCTATCACGGAACCGCGACTCCCACAAGCATCCCCTTTGAGCTCCAAGCTTCCAACCAGCCAGAGGCGCAAGCTTCTGGAAAACTAGCAAGAAGCGAAACTTTGGGATACAATTATACAAACAAAAATCAGTGGTTTCAGCTTGTTTTCAAACAGATGCGGCCTAGTGCAAACTCCCTGTGCCCCACAATGGGGCGTTTTCTAAAACAGGGGTCCCCATAAGATGGTTGGTTTTCTGTTGGTTTCCTGATGAACCCCAACCTTACAAGGGTTCCCCAACAAAACACGCATCCGTGTGGGTGTGTTTTGGGGGTACCCCTTGTGTGGTGGTTTTAAGGGAAACCGCACGGAAACCAACATTTGTTGGGTCCCCCTGTCTTGAGAGAAGTCTTATTTGAAGGCCTCGATGACCGAGGTTCACGGGATCCTTCAACCGCGTGAGCGGCGACGCTAAAGGAGGCACCTACCAGCTGCTGCAGACCTTCACCATGCCGGGAGATCCAGTATTGCTGACCCCAGGTCAATACACTCCCCACTCATTATTAAGGGGAGTCCCTTTTCAGTGGGAAATCTTTTCTTCCAGGAGGACCCACTTGACTCATGTTTGGGGGGTTTCTTCATCAGGAGACTTTTTTCAGTTGGGTGAGCGTGGAGAGCACAATTCCCCCCATTGGATATTGAGTCATGCTCTTTACTTACCCAAATACAGTGATTTTTGCTGATTCAGGCTTCAGCCTGGTGGTGTAAGCTGCCACAGGCTACCGGTTTTGCTTGGGGACCCCAATTTGGAGAGCCCAATTTCACCGCAATACGGACCCCCCCCCAAAAAAAAAACAGCCCCAGGTGTCTTGTTCTTCCACCGATCACAGCTTGCTAACTTCAAAGGCCATGCGGTTGTCTACCAGAGGTTTTTGACACGATCTAAAGCATGGTTTTCTCTCTATGCCTTGTTTTTCGACTTTTGCAGTTTTGGGGTGTTGGGGTGTTGGGGTGTTGGGGTGTCGTGGTTTCTGGGGTTTTGGGGTTTTGGTGTGTTGTTTTTTTTGGTTTTGGGGTTTTGGGCTCCAGAGCGGGTTTTGGAATTCTTCAGGCCTGGAAAGGATGGCCCGGAGGCCGCCGTGGTGCTGGAAGGCACTTGGAGCTGGGACGCTCAGCGCCGTTCGATCGGACCGGATCGATCGTCCGGGGCGGGGTAAGGACCGCCCCTGTGAAACCAACGAAAGGTCAAGAAACAAGACGAAGCCACCTGATCACCAGAAATCCCCGAATGTCGGTTGGTTCGTACCAACGAAACCATTCCCCTTTTTTTAGTTGGCTTAAGCATCATCTTATTGGGCCATTCAAGGTGAGTTTCCCTTGGTGGAGGTGAGGACTTGGGGAACTATAGGGAACCGTGTCAACAGGCTTCCATTGAAAGCAATCCTAAACTGATACACCTCCCTTGGAATTCCCTTGAACACCGCCATCCACCTGTCTACCCGTCCTGTCCATGTATCGGCACCCTTGTGAGCATGCTTCGCACATGGGTCCGCACATGCCTTGTTTGGGGCAGTAACATCATGGGCCAATGTTGCTTGAACTTCCATTTGTTGGTGTTTAATTCGTTTACCACATCCAATCCTCCAAAAAGGACATCTAGGTGTGTCTCTAATTATTCTACTGGGTCCTCCCAAAATGGTGGTTCTTTGGTTTGCGTTAGGTACGGAGACCTTGTTTCACATCCAATTTTCTCGAAAAGGACACCTGCTCGTTCCATTTGCTATCCTCCACGGGGGGACAACAGGGGTCCCTCTATTTCCCCATTTAGTGTTTTGGTTCTTGTTCATTCGCATCATCAAATCATGTTCAACCACCTCTTCATTTTGTATGGCTTTAGTATTTGCTGGTTGTGATAAGCCCAAGCTGACAGTCGCAGTTCGCACGTCGACCCTTTCCAACAACTCCGGGTTTCCCAAAATGCCAAGCCCGGACAGTTGGAGCCCAAGCCTTTGGGACTGGGGCGTCGGGTGAGGCACCGGCACTGCCACGGGCAACTGGGGCGAGGGCGCACCCCGCACCCGGGCACGGTTCGCCCAGCGAGCGTCGAAGCTTCGGCCGAGGGAGTTTAACGGGTGGGTCTTTCTGGTTGGACCCCGAAAACGGCGCAACGGTTTTCCTTTTGGTTTCCCTTGAAACCATCCAAACGTTGGGTGTGGCGTTTGTGGTTTCTGTTTTTTTTTGGGGAGGGGAGGACGGAAAGCTTATTTTGAGGCAGATACAATGTGTCTTTTTCTTAAGGTTGGACAGCCCCGGAAATGGCGCAATGGTGTTCCTTTTGATTTGGCTCCCTTGAAGACCAACCAATTGTTTGGGGTCCCTTGAGAAAAGACACAGCCATATCTTGAGATTTGCCCGTCAGAGGCTTCTTGCAAGTTTTTATGAACACAGTTCAATCCTTAGGTTTGAAGGGTTGAACGTTGAGGAAAAGGGGAGGAGGACATGAATCCTGAAAATGGAAGAACGTTGTGTTTACTAACAATTAAATTTGTTTGCCTCAATTGAGCTTGGCTGAGAAAAAAACTGTGAAGGATCTCTTGGGTCTTGTCGGTGTTTTGGAATTGGTGCAACTCATGCAGCAGCGCCGAATTTGCGAACCCCTAGGTTTTGTACCCACCTATGTGACAAGCCGATTCCAATTCCTTTCTAGCAAGCCTTCACACCAGCAATTCCAGAGGCACGTACTCGAAACAGGGACTGGGATGGGAGGTTTTCGGGATCAGATGGGAAGAAGTGGGGTTGGAGGAATATGACGTCATTGCTACTTCTGCTCAGTTCTCGAATCTTTGTGTCAACCTACGCCCACGGTGAAAGCGACTACAATGTTCCGCGGTAAATTGGAGGTCATGAGATACATCGACAGAGTTAGCAATTGCTTTCAGGATGCTACCAAACATGGAAGTGCGCGACCCTCTTTGGAAGACTGCTTTCCTTCTAAGGCAGGGACACCTGTGCACTTGGAGTTGTGTGTGTGAGAGGTTCGTTCCAGAGTTTGACAGTGAGGAGCTCGACCCAGGAGGGTCCACCTGAAGCTGCAGTCGTCAGTTCTCTGCAGGTTCTTGTTGAAGAGTTCGTCAGACAAGTTTCTGGCATATAATATGCCGCAATTGCGGCCCCCAAGCTCGCACCGCTTGGAGGTGAGGACGCTGCACAAAAGAGCTGAATGGACAAGCACCCGCAGCTCAACGTGGAATCCCAAATTTATAGAGGAATCTTTTCGGATCCTGCGAAGCGGTTGATCATGTACCCCCAGTTCCCCAACTAAAACGCAAAAGGCGGTTTCCCATTTACAAATGCGCATGTTTTAGAGAACTTTGTTCCACATCCCCTTAATGGAGTGCTTTCTCACTCACCTGGAACCCACCAGGGTCCTTGAGGACCAAATCGACTTCAATGAGCCCCAAATTAGGTTTCATGCCAGCGCGGGAGAAGCAGTGTTCAAGTTGTAAGTCCAGTTGTTCAGTGGCGCCGTTTATCCTTTGGGTTGCAACACTTGGACTTGGACCTCCAAATCGGTTCCTCCTTGTAAACGAACGGGTTGCTGGACAACCAGTTCGATGAGTCTCCTGGGACATTCAAGGCCAGTCATGCGCTTCAGGTGCCCACCAAGTTTGAGACCGTCCGCGTGGTGCCATCCACTGACGAGGATGCCAGACAGGAGCCCAGAATTTGCCGTTGGTTTGATTTGATTTGCATTGGATTGATTTTGCATTGGTTTGATTTGGTTTGTTTTGCTTTATGTTGGTTTGGTTGTGTTGGCTTGTCGTGTTCGGGTTTGTCTTGGTTCGTGTTTTGTTCCACGTAGTCAAGGGCACTCTGCTGCAACTCGGCTCTTGTCAAATGAGTATGCCTCAGAATCTAAAGCCATCCCAGCAAGGGTACCATCACACCCAGATGAACTGCTTCTATCCGAGCAAGTGACACAATTTCTGGCGGTCTACTGCTGGGTTGCGGAATACATGTGGACCCAGCCCAATTTCCCACACGAACCAGTGCCAAATCACCCCACGTCCTCAACATGAGTTCTTGGCAATGGAAAGGGCCACAACCAAAGCACAGCGATTCGAGCGGCTCGCTTTTTGGCTGCGACCCCAACATTGGTGGCAAGATCCTTATACATATTGTCCCAGAATGCGCCCCCAAATCAGAGCTGAAACAGACTAACATGGGTTGTGCATGGTTGTACAGATGTTGTACAGGGACCATCCAGAGTACATGCCCAAGCTTACAAGGGTATGTTCAGTTTAGACATGTGCGGAGGAGCCACACATCCTTATTGATTACGGGGCTGAGAGTCGTTTGAATCTCTCTACGGCACAACCCCACAGCACTCCCCATGGGACGGTTACCCTCCCCCAGACTAACAGGCTGTTTGGAAGACTTGGTTCCATCAGAGGACAATTGGGGGAGCGTCCGGCTGGGGTGACGGAGTGTGAAGATGTCCTGTGCCCATGGAAAGCCCACGCCGAGCTTGGCCATCGTGTTAAGGCCGGGCCATGCTGGAAGAGGCTGGTCTAGGCGCGGAAGCTGGTGGAACCGAGGTTTTTGTGGGTGCGCCTTGTTAAGGTATCATTTTTGGTTGGGCTTCGGCGCAGAGGGACGTAAAGAAACGCAGCCATTTTGGGGTTCCCCCATTTTAAAACAAGCCCATTTCCTATTTGAAGCCGGTTTAAACTTCGCCTTTTGGACCAATGGTGGCCGATTTGCCGCGAGATGTTTAAGGGAAATCTTCGGAGCCCTAGGTTGTTTGGCTTTTGGAGTTGTGAACCCCCTTTGGAATGGGTTTAGCGGGATAGCAAAGGAAAACCGAAGCCCGAATACAAATAACTATTTCCATATTTCATATGTATATGTACTCAACTAGTCAACTTTCTGGTTGTGTTTGTCAACGTGGTCCTTTTTCCCCTGTCAGGGATCCCATTGGTTGAGATCGGCGGAGCCGCCCACAGTCTGAACAACATCCAGGAAAGTTTTGATTTGTGTTTGGGTTCGTCAAGTCATTAGTCAGCAACTGTGTCTAAGGTTGAGGAAATATGTCGAAATGAGGTGCAAGTTGTGTGGTTATCCTTAGGTGTTCCCTCTCAAAGCGAAACAGTTCTCATATTTGGTGCTCGGCTCCTCATGTGCATTGTTCTGACAAGGTGTTAGAAATAGTTGAGGCCATGAACACCAGTTTTTATGGCTAACTGTGAGAAGTTCTGAGTATGCGACAGACAAACATGCGAAAGGCTTTTCCTGTCAGAGATGTTTCTGCGCAAATTCTAGCGAGCCCACCCGGTAAACGAGCTCACCCGGGAAGCTCGCTAACGAATCTCTTCGTCAGCTTGGCGCGTTAGGATCGCCGCATTTGCTCCGGAAAGTCCGTCAACCGAATCGCCAGGGAAGTACTTCGAGCGAACCGCGATCAAGGCACCAGAGACTTACATTGACCTGAAGCACATCAGCGGAATCCTTAGAGCCTGGCGATGAGCTGATCTCCACCAAGAAATTGCTTTGGAGTTGTTGGTGTAAGGTTTGAGAATTGTGCCAAATGCAGCCTTGTGGCAATCTTGCAAGGTTGCTGTGCACATGCCCCCCACACACTAAGACAACTATTTAAAATGAACGACTCACGCTTTGCCAGATGTTGTTCGAGTTAGCTTGTTGGTATATGCTTCGGATGATCGAAGCTTGTTCACAAGGTAACCGACGTGCAACAAGAAAGCAGCGCCTGAACATCATGACACATCGCACTTTGGGAGGCGTCAAGGATGAACAATGATGGATGAACCTTCTATCGCTCGCCGATGTTTTGTTGTGCAATCGAAAAATGACCCGCAATCAATGTCTTTCCAGCCAGGTCTAACATGCCGTTGAGGTTTGGGTCTCAGGGCAACGGAGTCGCGGCGGCCGCTCGTTACACCGATGCATATCGTTATAGCGTTTGTACGATTTCAGTTTGGTCAATTATACGCACCCTACGGCGCAGTGCGTTGATCGGTGGTTTCCTCCAACTAATTTTGCGTTACGTTTCGATTTTTGAGGCGCGGGTTGCCAAGGTGCTGAAGATATATGCAAGCTGTCCTTGCCGTGCCAGAAAGTAGGAGCAGCAGCAACTATCAATACTGACTGGTAGCACTTACCACAGACTGCATACGACCCACACACACACACGCGCACACACACACAGACAGACAGACAGACAGACAGACAGACAGACAGACAGACACACAGACACACAGACACACAGAGACACACACAGACACACACACAGACACACACAGACACACAGAGACACACAGAGACACACAGAGACACACAGAGACACACAGAGACACAGAGAGACACAGACACACACAGACACACACAGACACACACAGACACACAGACACACAGACACACAGACACACACACACACAATACCCCCGTGCAGGGCCCGTAGACCGCTAACCAGTACTACCTCCTGCTTCTATTAGTTCTCATTTGCTTCTTGTACGACTACTACTACTGCTGCTACTACTGCTGCTGCAACGACTACTACGACTACTGCCATACCTACGCGGGATCTCTCATGGTTTGCTAGTTGCATATTTCGGAGCCCGCATGCGCTCGCATATCGTGAAGATATATGTGCAACAGCACATGCTGTTGCAATGCAGACCATGAGCCGTCAGCGTTAAAGATTCAAGCAAATTCTAGTATGCTCTTTGGCGTTCTCGCTTGTTCAGCGGTTGACACAGCACTTCAGCTTTTTCCCAGTATTGGCTACAAGCGAGCATGGAGGTGATACAGTTTTAAGGGGTAGTCCGTCATCCAGGGCTGCTTTCGTCTGGCAGGGGTAGTATCAAAACATATCACAACCCTGAATACAGACTAGGGTTCAACTTTGTAGCCCTTTGCTGTGAAATGAGGCAAATCCGGCAAACCCTGCGGGCGGTTCAAGCATTCAAAAAGGCGCTTGGTGTTTTTTGCGTCGGCTCGCCGGTTCTCTGAGGCGAGGAGATGCGGGTGCACCAGGCAGGGCTCACGGTTTGCAAACAACCTGCCAACCGCCCCCGATGTTGAGACAGACCCACCCTGGGAATTTGAAGAAAAGGACACTGACTCTGTGAATGGTTTCTGAGTGACATGTTAAAATACTTCGCTTCGAGCAATCCCCACCCTCCACACTCACGAGCTTACGATCGTGAACACGGTTGTGTGAATTCAAGCATGGTTTTCGAGTGGCTTGGGGCCTATGACTGCTCAACAAGTTTGGATTGAGAGCCTTATCCACCCGTCTGTGTGTATCAAACTCCACTTGTCTGCGAGCCGATCTCGAGAACTCCAACATCGGTTCCGTTAACAAAAGCCAAGCCCCTTCCAAAAAGAAACCCGACGGGGGTTTAAACGAAGCTGCTTATTCACAACCCAAAGCAACACAAAAGCATCACCCTTTCGAGGCTCAGGGCACACTCAAAACACGAAGGCACCAACATGAAACGTAAACCCAACTGTGCGCCGGGCGGGGCAACAAGCAAAACCAGACTGGCGAGCTGCTCTGGCGGGATACTGGCGGGATCCACTCACGAGCAGCCTGGCGGGATACTGGGCGGGATCCACTGGCCAGCTGCTCTGTGGTGGTGTGGTGGGACACTCGGGCTGCTCTGACGGGATGCTCGGCGGGATCCTCTGGCGAGCCGCTCTCTCGCTCTCACTCGCTCTCACTCTCTCTCACTCACTCTCACTCACTCTCATTCACTCTCACTCACTCACTCACTCACACTTACTCTCGCTCGCTCGCTCTTTCTCTTTCTCTCTCTCTCTCTCTCTCTCTCTCTCTCTCTCTGTCTCTCTCTCTCTCTGACTCTCCCGCACTCTCTGGCGGGATACTTGGCGGGATCCACAGGCGAGCCGCTCTGGCGGGGTTGTAAAGGATAGCAGGGCTACCCAGGGTGATTGCGAGGAACAATCAATCGTGCTTCTCGCTCGACCGCCGTTTTCTTCGGAACATTGTGAGCGTGCGGAGGGGCGGTGCAGTCAGTACAGTTGGGATACAGACGGAATCCCCCTGAATTGTCAGGTTATCAGCCGTAGGGTTTTGCCAACGTGCTGTGAGACGTATGGTTATCTGAGGCGGTAGGGTATTTCCCACCGGCTCATGAAGATCAGCCTCATATTGCCGTAGGACAACTGTGTTTACGTGACAATGTCCGATGGACAATCTTCGAGAACCTTTTTTGGATCTGGCGGCTCGCGCTATCGGTACATCAACACAAGGAACTCCGGAATCAGCCGGACATGGAAGCGGATATACCATTGTAGTGAGTACTGGTGTTCGGGCAACAAGTCAGCAAAGTGATGCTGGTGCTGACCAGGCCATCGTCTCGCTCCAGGGCACCTTCTGATGATGGTGAAGAACGGGCTAAAGTTCGTAAGGACCCAAAGGGGGATAGGTCCACTTCTGCAAGAAATTCGCCTAACGATCCCAGGAATGCGGAACAGTTACTCGATGAGGAATTGCGAAGCATCATTTGAAAACGGAATCCCATGTGAATGAAGCAGCTGAGCAGTGCGATGAGAATCGTGCTTTACGAAACACATGTATTTCGATGCAATCAGTCATTCAGGCACACAGCGGTTGGAAAGAATGAACAACACCTTCGGGCCCCAAACTGCTCACATTCATCCACGGAAGAGTGAAGGATGAGTACGATTTGGCGACGGAACAGCTGCAGATTTAAAGTACACGCCTCAGCGAGGTTGAAGCCAGGGCAGGCGTTGAGATCGCAAGTACAACAGTTGTTTGAAGCAGAACCGAAAGGAGACTGGTTGAAATCTGCCAAGATGCTGGCTGAGCAGGAGGTTGACGCTGTGAGACTATCACTGAGGAGCGGAGCGGAGCTTGTCAGGAGATAGGCAACGTGGAGATCCAAGCCAGGGTCGTAGGTAGACTCAGGAACCAGTTGAGCTGGGCAGAGACTGCCTCGTGCTACCTTAAGAGCGAAGTTGCGGAGGCCTCAAGAGTGTGACTGGTTGTTTCAGCCAAGCCGTGCTGATGAAGAAGAATATGAGTTGTGTAGAGAATGCGTCCCAACAACAATTCCACACTCCTCAAAGGCAGTAGGAGTCGATGCAAGAGTTCAACACTCGGCTTCACGAGGTTGCGCGACAACTATGAAACGAAGGTCGACAGCGGAGCAAATGTTCAGACACGGATCCCCCCAACGATCGGGGAGAGGACCGTCGAGCCCGTTCATGGAGCCGAAGAAGGAGAAAAGGCTGAACAGCAGACTGAACATAGGCCAGCTAGAGAGGAGGAGAGGCGGGGAAGAAGTCAGTACTCCGGGATCCGCCTCTGGATCTGGACACTGAGATGGGCCAAAAGGTGCGAAAGGACAGAACAAGGGGAAAACCAAGAGCCCTGTTCAGAAAGGAAAGGGAAAGTCTTGGCGCAAAAATGTCCGCGATCGCGAGGACGTCCGAGACCAAGGTTGGTGGCAGAAAGGTGCATGGTAAATACGGTCTTTCCGGTCCGCCAAACATTTCGCCCATGCCACAACAGACGCGGTGCAGTTTCATGAGCTGCGAATATGATGTACTTGGATAGGGGTGGACACGTTATTCCGATCTACTCACTTTCCGGATGCATATCAGTTGCATTTGCACTTTACAATTTTGACACAGGTGCGATTTCAAGCCGCGCAATGGTAATACATGTTGCCATTGGAGTGTGGCTTGATGAATCAGGCATGCGGGGTTAACGGGTCTTTTGACTTCGCTGACAGGGCACGCTGACGCTGATATCTGGATAGGCAGTGTTGGCTAGCGACGCGCAAATTGCTTAGCGCCTCCATCATTCTGCAACAAATACCAGCGGGTCGTGACAGATATTAAACAAGCCATGACGACCAATGCAGATTCATGCCCATCGTTAGATGCTGAATCGAGATGAAGATGACTAAGATGACACCTGTTTGAAAGTCGCTGGATCCTGTGCGTGCTTTCGATCTCTATCATCCAATGCCGCTGAGTTCGTAAATGCCTGTACCGCATCTCGCATGAGAAGTGCAAAAAACCAGTTGAAAAGAACAATTGGGCCAGTCATCGTGTTGTCTTTCGCTCGGGATCTTGAATCAAACCGTTTATCCTTCTGCTACGTCTGCCTCTGCACGGATGCATCGAAACGACTCATAGCGTGCGGGGGGTGTGAACGGTTTCCGAGTCACATGTCAAATAACATGCAAATGCACGTGGCCACATTTGGCTCAAGTCACCCCTATCAACTAGGAGACCAAAATCTAGGTTGATTGTAAAGGGAGCAGAGCTACCAAGGGTGATTGCGAGGAAAGCAAAAAGTCGTGCTTATCGCTCTGCCGCGGTTCCCTTCGGCACATTGCGTGCGTGCGGAGGGACGGTACAGGCAGTACCGTTGGGATAAACACAGAATCCCCCACATTCTCAGGAACCTTACCCAGCAAGCTTTTCTCAGAACCCTGTCAAGAATCCCGCCTGAGTTCTGAACTTTGCATTATGGAGGGTTCAAGTGACTTAAGAGTGAATTTTCAGACAGGTGGTTGAACATGACCATATCATGGTACGCGAAACATGGTGCGTGTGTCCTCTGTGAAAGGGAGGAATACCAACAGCAGGAGATTCCTACCTTTGGATATCACGCCCTTTCGGATGCACCGTCAGTTGTTTCTCCATCTAGAAAACTGATGCTTCAAGCCATGCCAGTTGCCAGTAGGGACACAATGCAATCGCAGCACGTGTTATAGTTGATGCAGATGAGCTTAAAGTTTTTTGGACCAAACAGTTTGAATATTCCTTGGATGCTGAAGAACTGTTATGTGATTGCTCCTCAAAGTGATTTCATTGGATGCTGAATAATTGTTATGTGATAATTCTCCAAAGTGATTCAAGACGGGACGTATTTCTTTTTCACTTTGTTCACAAATAGCCCCACACTTCTTTCCAGGACTACTTGTCGCAGTTGTGACATCACGCCACTCAAGCGCCGACAACCCTGGAATTTTGAGGGGCAACTCCTAGGGGACGATTCCCTGTAGCACGGGCGCTTGGCAGGACTTTGTGACCTTACCCGTGTTTTTGTCCTGTTGTGGGGATTCTATGTTTTTATTCATGTTGTGGATTTATCCTCATCCCCCTTCTCCACGCCTTGGAACGCGTGGACCATGCGTAAAGGTCGTGTTCCCAACCGACGTGGGCGCGGTTTCTTTTGTGTAGTTGGAAATTGGGGTGGGGTAGAGTGGGTTTTCACAAGGGTAGCCAGCAAAGGTGATTGTAGCACCAATGGCTTAAAGCGGTCAAAGTAAAGCGTGGTTGGCCCGAGCCTCGAGCAACTGGGGCCCCTCAAAGTCCCACTTCATGGTGTGTTCAAAACAGAGCCAGGGGAAGCAGAGAAAGCCAACACATATTTTTGTGCGCAGTTGTTTGGTTGAAGCCGTCGCCTTTTTTGCCAGGGTGAGTCTGGGGCTTTCTACGTGCTCACCAAGATAGAGGATGGATCGATTCCTTTCATCCTGGACTGAGTCGGAACTCGGGAGTGGGGTCAGAAGTTGCCCAAGCCAGTTCTGGCCAACAGAAGCTCTCATCAGAAGCTCCCGGACGGGTCTCTGAACATTGTGGATGTGAAAACAATACCTTTCTGCATGTTTCTGTAAGCGTCATGTTTGTGTTGAGTGTTCAAAGCCTAGAGCAATTTGTCAAACAACTGCGCAAACCGCCAATCAAAAGGCACTGCGTCACTCAAGGAAGGGATGTGGCTGAGTCGGTCGGTTCTTTTTCCAGAATGGGTCGCTCCAGATACGAGAGCGGGCCAAGGAATCGATTTGATTATGTATCAAAAAGCAGTCTTCACACTGGCGCTGCAAAACGCTGGAGATTTTCTGGACCTGACAGGATACACATTGGTCAGAGGCAAAGAATCAGCCCGTGCGGATCGCGCGCGCGGAGACATGCAGATATGCAGCCGGGCTGATGGGGTTGTTTGTGAATACCCCTCAAGTTTGTCGGTTGTCCTTTGGTTTGCCTTTGATGCTAGCCCAAAGAAAAAGCACCATCCCAAGATCTCGAGGATCCTTCTCCCCATGTCCAGCCGATCCGCGTCGAATTTCGTGCCAAACGAAGGAATTCCAAACATAAGCCCGGGTTTCCTTTTGGTTTCCCTATGTGTCTCTTCAAAACCCAAAGGTATCCTCAAACAGAAGGCCAAAGGGCAGCGGCTGCAAATTTGAGCAACAAGTGGATTATATTCTGTGTGGCAGAAACCCAAGAGCCCTTCGGACAGCTGACAGGTGCACTTGCCCAGGATACATCAAGGGGGACTCTGAGCTTTGCACAACTGAGGGTTGCAATGATGTTTCAATTGGTAGCTGTTTCTGAAAGGATGACGGCCCCGCAACATGTGGTTGCTTTTGTGTATTTCTCTTCAGACAACCACCTAAAGGGAGTCGCCAACCTGAGAACAGACCCGTTCCTTTCGCCAAGTGCACGGGTGCCGCCAGTCCTCATGCCTGGCTGCTCCTGTGATATCTCTCTTTTTGTTGAGGTTTCCTCCAAAATTATGGTATATTTGGGTCTACATCTGAGGCATGCACACATCCGTTGTGTACCCCATTGGGTCAAGTCTTAGCTGAGAAAAAAAATATGGTCAGTCCCTTCACCTCATGCGGATTCCGAAATGTGAGTTTCTCAAAAAGGTGTCTTCCTTGTGGTTGGTCTTTGAAGGTAAACCAACAGGCCAACCATGTTCCGGGACCGATTCCTACTTTGAGAAACACCCTATGGCCGACAAGTCCCACAGGGATCCGGGAGTTTGCACTGATCTGTATCTGTTTGACGCATGTGGACGCCACTGATTTGTGTTTTCAGAAGTATTGCGGAAATTCCCTCAAAGGAGGCATCGGTTGCTAGTCCAGAAGCTTAAACAGCCTTTGACGGTTTGGCTTCAGTCAGCTTGGAGCCTTCCTCTCCTGTTCATGGAACCCGCCAGAGGGTCCCTTGTAAAGGAAAGTCGTCGTGGACCCCGAAACGTCGAGATCCATGTTAGATGGGAAGTGTGTTTTGGGAGTCACCGGACGGCTGCGAAGCGCGCCATCACTTCAGGCCACGGAGGGTTTGCCGGGCATTGAGAAGTTGCCCCAGGCGGTTGCACAGCTGCAGCCGAAGGACGAGTCAAGTCGGTTGCTTAAGAATTTGCTTAAGGGTTTTGGCTGGTTGTGTGCTTGGGTTTTGGTTGGTTTGTGGTTGTATCTTGAAGTCTTGGGTGGTTGTCGAATGTTGTTGTGTTTTGTTACTCTTTTGTTGGTTACAGCAGTGTTTAGTTGTTTTTTTGGGTGGGTGTTGGTTGGCTTTGGGTTGGGCTGTTGAACGTGGCTTTTGGTTGGGTTTACTTTCTTTGGTGGCGGTGGTTGTTGTGGTTGTTGGCGGGTCTATGGGTTGGTGTTGGTGGGTTCGTAGTTGAATTGGTTGGTCCTGGTAGGTCGATCCAACCCATCCCGAAGCCTCGCATGGGAGGTCCTGGGTTCTGATAGGTGCCATTCCCTTGGCCTTTGTTGCGGCTCAGTCCGATTCAGGAAGAGCGGCTCGTCGGTCCTCGGCAACTCGGAAGTCCCTCCCAAGAATCTGATCGGGTGCAGTTCAAATGAAAGTAGACAGCAGCCTTTCAAGATTTGCCAGCTTTATGACTCTGTTCTTCTGGAGGAAAGGGTGTTCTTCTTGTCAAACCAGAATCTCGTTTTGACTACCTCATTGCTATTCATGCTTGGTTCCCTAGAAGTGTAGTCAAACTGCCTCCCCCCCTTCTCCCGGAGGGCCCGATGCCAACGCACCGCAAGGATGGCTGCTTTGGGCGATTGGTCCTTAGTCTCGAGTGGCAGAACGCACCTCGGCAAAGAGAAACGCAAATGTCGGCTTGGGCCTAGAGGGAAACCAAAGGAAAGGCACCCCTGGGAGGTTGCTCCGGCAAGATGGTATGCCACTCCAATGACTTAATGTTGCGCTTGGCCTCGAACTGGCCAAGGTCCAAAACAGATGTTTGATCGATTGACATGGTCCTGAACCAAATTCCGAGTGGAAGATATACATGTTTCCTGCGTGGGGTTGGAAAGGACACCACAAGCAAGCCAGCCAAAGTTGTTGGTTGCTTACTTTCTTTTTATGGACAGAGGCATAGGGTCAACACCTTTAACCTTCTGCATGAGCTTCGACTATCCGGACCCGGTATTTGACGCCCGAAGACGAGCAAAATGGATTTGCGACGGGCCAAGCTCCCTTGGCCCTTTTGATTGCCGTCAGTGGCATGCCCATCGATCTGGTGCAGGTCACCGCATGTGACCCAAGAGAATCTTGGTGCAGTGCACGCAATGCAGAGGAACTGTTGCGAATTTAGGTACTGGGATTTGTCGTTCTTGTTAGGAGCCCTGCAAAATGAGGGGTTTTCCTTATTTTTGTTTTCCCATGTTTTCCCTTCGACGTAACCCCACAAAGGGTAGCCTCACAAAGGATACCCTACTAGCCGGGCGATTGGGACACGACTAAAGCACAGAACTCGCCGCTAGGTCCGCGCTGGGGACGGCACCTTTGAGGCCGAATGTGCGGCATTGTATCGCTTCATCGGTCCGGGGGGTTCCCTATATCTTCCCCTTTGGTTGTTCTCAGTATTACCTGGTCCAATTTGAACTGAGACTCTTGGGGAGACAATGAAAGGTGGTGCGTTTTTTGTTTGATGGTTGTTTTCAATTCGGAGAAATGGGGAGCTTGAAGTGATTCTCCCCCCGCAAAAAGAACCTGGAAACCCGAAAGGAGCGTCTTTCAAAAGGAGATTGTGATCCTAATAGAGAGTATGGTGTTTCAATGTTCGATTTCACATTAAGCTGAAGAGCAGCGGATCCATTAGTGTTGCTCCGACTGCCTCAGGTGCAGGTTGCAGCTGCGGCGGAGTGCGAAGGTGCGCCAAGCAAAGGTGCACTCGCGTAGGCTGCAAAGTTCACCTTCACAATCCCCTTGGGGGGGGGGCCTGTGTATTGGTCTTCTATGTTGCCAGCCACTTTCTCTGGAGTACTGTGTTTCTAATTGAATTAAATTCCCTCATGATCATGAACTAGGCCCCGATTCAAATTATGCATTTCGGGAGCAGCGGACTGCAATGAAGATCCCTGTGTCGGCAAACAGGTTGGTCCAAACATGGCTTAGTCTAGGGAAACCCAACCGAAGCACCTGGAGGATCCCAAATTTGAGACAGAGTCATTTTCCACAGCCACAGCCAGGCGAACACAGACCAAGTTTATTGCAGGCAAGCAGCATCCCCTAGTTCCACTTAGCTAAAAGTGGAACTCATATTGTGTTGTTCTACTTTATTGCTTTGTAGGGTTGGTGCTTCAAAATGGGCTCTAAGCGTCCGTGGCACGAGGCACCTGCGTGAAATAGAGCGCTTTGACACAGTATGCCAGTTTCCTCTTCAACAGGCAAGGGATATATATATATATATATATATCCTACATATCATATATACCCTGTAAATATGCATATAAAAAGGAATGACATTTTATGATGACCCTTCCCGCACGCCTCCCCTCTTGGGCGAGGGTTTGGATTCTGCCGCTTGCTGGTTTTGCATACAGCACCCTGAAGCCAACTCTCATTGAGTTTTTTCCATTGTGGGTGATGTTAAAAGGAATCATGTTGGGACACACCGCAGCCGGGTGAATCCCTTGGCGTGTGGCTCAGGTCACCCGCATCCCTTGCTGTACCTGTCCACCTCTGAGGAGACAGGGGTAAAGGGTTCCCTTTTGCCGCTACACGCCTGGGCTTCCCATTAAAGCAAAGGCAGGCGCTTCTAGAGGTTTATGTCGTATAATCGTCGCTATAACCAACAGCTCAACGTCGTCCATGCAGTTGCTTAGCCGCTTGAGGCGATTAAGCACAAACAAAACCCTTGATAAATGAAGGTTAGTAAGGGACAGTTCCAACCAGAACTAGCAAAAGGCGCAGCCGCCCTTTCAATTGTATACATTTGGATTAGGGCAGGCCACTTTGATTGTGCCTCATTCGTGTATTTGTGTACTTGCACAATGACTTCTAATTGCTCATTTCATTGTGTAGTGGCACTGAACATGCGTGGTGGCAGGAGTCGTAAGATGCTTGGTGGCTTACACCAGTTGGGTTTGCAGGATCCCTTTAAACAGATGGGTCGTTCACGGTTTCGATTTCTCACGTTGGTCCCAGAGCCATTCAATTGCTGAAGCGGATCTCTGAATGCGTTGTTCGGATTTGTTTGCGATGTTTGTCCTCTTGAAACTGGTGACAACTTATTGTGATGTAAGTTCTTGTTTGCGGCAACATATGTGCTGTTCGTGGTAGGCTTGCACCATCACTGCGAAGCCTAGACGTGCCATGCTTTTTCATTTCTCGTACACACATATCAAGCTCATCGATCGAGGGTCCGCCGTGCGAGGGATTTGACCCATGAAGGTCTTCGGGAATCCCTAGCAGTTCGTGCACATCTCTTCATGTCACTGCGAAAAATGGTTGCTTCGCCCAATTGCCAGGCCCACTTCTGTGATAAGGGAGGCCCTTTGTAGATCTCTGCTCGGGATGCCCCAATGCCGTTCAGGGCCAAAATGACTGGAGGA